CGAACGGCCCGAAGCGCGCCCTCCTGGGCACCGCCTCCCAGGTCCAGACGCCCCGCGACTCGCCGGGGACCTTGCTGAGCTCCACCGCGAGCTGGTTCGGCGCCGTGAGCAGCGCTCTCTCGGGGTGGCCGAAGGGGACCTGAGTACAGAAAGTGAATACGTTACGCACAATTCGGAACACATGACACTACCACGCGTCTGTCAAGTGCATACCTCGGTGTCCGCAATAATCTGCAGGGGTCCGTGCTCCGGGCAGTCGCCGTCCCAGTCCTTCTGGCAGTCATCGCAAACTGAAACACGACGTTCAGAAGTTATGTTTGATCAATTATCTTAAACGGCGCCCAAACTCACTGCTTACCCAACCCATAAAGTTTTCCGTTGGCACACGGAAAAAAAAGATTCGCTGTGCCAGCTAATACACTGACTGGTATTTGGACAGATAACCTGATAAGTTTCTGGAAATACTATATGAGCTATTATAATCGATTATTGACTGTAGCAGTCGATTATTGACGCTAGGAACCAATGTTCCTACAATCTGCATATTATTTCCCAGAGTCAATAATCGACTACTACAGTTAATAATCCGAGTGGTAGATAACTCCTGAATTGGGTGTACAAATATCAAGAATTGAATTTGAATTAGCTTGAATTGGTTTGAATTGAATTTGAATTGGACTGAATTGGTTGGATTGGTTTTGAATTGGTTTGAATTATTGCGATTTTATGTTACTGAGTTAGCGTGAATTGGCTCGAATTGACTTGAATTGACTGAACATTGTCTTGAATTGGACTGAATTACTTGAATTAGTTTGGAATTTGTTTGAATTACATGGAATTGGTCTGAATTAGTTTGAATTGGGCAGAATTAGGGGTGTACAGTTGGCAGGGGAGTTATCCACCCCTCGCAAAAATCGATTATAATAGCTCATTATTATAATAGCTCGATTATTGACTCTGGGAAATAATATGCAGATTGTAGGAACATTGGTTCCCAGAGTCAATAATCGACTGCTACAGTCAATAATCGATTATAATAGCTCATATAGTATTTCCAGAAACTTATCAGGTTATCTGTCCAAATACCA